CGTAGTCGTCAAGCTTGTGCGCTTCTGCGGGAGGTGTTGCTGGTGGAACAACAATGGGCACAATGGCGTTGGGGCGGCATCTGGGGTCTGTTGTTGGGCGGAGATGGCACAGGTCAAACTGCTCTGTGGGGGATCATGGTGCGGTTTAGGGTCAGGTCCAGCGCCCACAGGGCAACCCTGCCTCGCGAAACGCTGCTTGAAACAGTGAGCAGGTGCTGGTGATCGCACATGGCCATGTCATCTGCTCTGTCATTGCGATGCAATATGGTGGTGTGCTGGCCCGTACTGTAGTCGCACTTGATCACGCTCTAAACAGAGTTGACGAACAAGATGCTGCTGCGACGGGCAAAGACACCAAACTTGACCGGAGCGTTTCTGCTCACTTTGAGCTTGCTGAGGACATTGTGGTTGGCGACGTCACACACAAACACGTCACCTCGCGCAGTGTCAATCGCCAGCAGGCTGTCATCAGTTGGGTGCGCGGCCATGGTGGCGGCGGTCATGTTGGCGTTCAGCTCTGCCTCGTTCACAAACAAGTCATCCAACACTGCTACACGCGTCAGCGCACTGCTCACACCACTACTGCTGCCGTTTACGTGCTGCTGCTGTTGTTGTTGCTGCTGCTACTGCTGCTCCTGCTGCTGCTGTTGTTGTTGCTGGTGATGGTGGTGGTGGTGATCAATGGCACAGACGTACACTGTGTTTCCGCACGCGCTAGCAAGTTTGTTGCTGCTGTCCGCAAACGCTGCGATGTGCGGGACACGAACGCCCGTGACCTCTTCGGGTTGTGCCAACGTCGCACGATCAACACAAACGGGCGTGTCGTTGTTGTTGTTGCTGTTGTTGTTGTTGGTGCCACTGCTGCTTGCCCTTCATGTTGTGTTGTTGCTGATCGTGTGATGTGAGGGTGCTGAGATCCCACACGCGCAAGTCGGTGGAGGTGGACGCAGTCACCAGGAAGCGGCCATCAGGGGTGACGCGCAACGCATCCACGGCAGTACGCACGCGCTCCTTGCTCGCCGTTTCCGCCTCTACTTCCCCTCTCGCTTCTTCTCCTTGCATCGTCTCTTCGTCACTATCGACAGCATCTGTCCTCCACTCTGCAGCAGGGTCGATGGCTCACCAAGCTGCCACACGAGATGACACCCGCCTTGTTGTCCGCGATGTACAGAGTGGGCGTGACTGCCATGCAGCGCGTGTGCTCGGAGGTGGACGGCACGGCACGACCGCCATGCACTTGAGGTCTAGGACGCGGTGCAGCTTGCACTCCTAGGGCACGTTCTGCCACCTCTCGGTGACGCCATCGGACGCGGCAGCGCATGCAAGCTCAGCGCCAGGAAAGATCCCCGAAGATGACTGTGCGTTCAGCCTCATGTGCACCGAGGCCGCAGATGTTCACACGGGAGTAGGGGAGTAAGAGGGGCCGATGAGGTGCTTGCCGTCCTTGGTCCACACCATGTCGGTTGCTGTGACGGGCACGTGCTGCTTGCATGTCAGCCTGTGCATGTCCCACACAAACGACTCAGCCACCAGCAGGCGGCCATCGGGGCTGACGCTGACGTAGGAGTAGCCTTCATGCCCAGAAGAAGCAGAAGGACAGCTGCCAGGAGGCCTCAGAGAGACAAGAGTAGGAGTGCGTGTCTGCTTGGCTGCTTGATATGCATAAGATCCTGGGAAGACTGGTGCTGAAATGGATGTGCGATGTATATTCGTGGTTTGTGTTGAGAGGGAAGTGTTGTTGGATGGATGAGTGGCTGTGTTGAATGTGCTCGATGGTGTGAGCCAAAAGAACTGAGCCAACGCACGCAACGTGAACGGAACACGAAAGACAGGTCAAAGCACCAACAGAAGAGAAAGGAACAACTGTTGCAGTGGGAAGAGCAGCAGCTTAAGGATGTACGTGTCGCACACACACACACACACATCACGGCTCACCGCTTGATGTGGAGCTTGTTCTCCTCGCTCGGGTACTTGGTCGGGTGCACCTGAACATCATCGCAGATGAGGCAATGGCGTCAGCATAACACGACTGCACACAACCGCCACCACCCGACCCCAAGCAACCGCCACCACCACCTAACCCCAAAGCAAACAAGGCACCCCACAGCCAGCCACCTTGAAGACGCATGCGTAGATGTTGGCGGCGGCAATCAGAAACTCCTTGTGCAACGGATTCTGCGGATCAAACTCGAGCACCTCGGGGAAGATCTTGTGGCCTATATGGGCACAACACACGAAAGGTGAGGAACAATGGAACGAGGCAAACACGCGATCAGTTGCGGTGTGGGTGGTGCTGCCAGAACGAACACACACACACACACACACACACACACACACACACACACACACACACACACACACACACACACACACACACACACACACACACACACACACACACGCGCGCTATTCACCTGCGTGGAAGTTGAGGATCTGGTGGATGGGCCTGTAGAGACCGCTGATCTTGACGATCCCCTGCACAACAACGCCTTCCTTGTACACGCACATCGGTGATGGTAAAGGTGATGGTGATGGCAGTGAGCGACAAGGGAGGGAAGTGAAGCCGAGGTCAAAAGTTCAGCATGCGCAGTGCGTCACCACCTTCAATTCACCATGGCACCATCTTGCTTGATACACGATTTGGAAACACACGGTGTTACGCACACGCACGCTCACACATGCGCACATGCACAAGTACGCACTCACCTCAGGGCAGCTTGTGCAACAGGGGAAGATGATGATGCTCTCAAGTGGCACGCCCCTGGTGTCTGTATCTCACCATGCCGCAGTGCATGGCCTGGTCAATCGAGGTTGTGTGTGTGAGAGAGAGAGAGTGTGTGTGTGTGTGTGTTTGTGTGTGTGTGTGTGTGCGAGGTTGTGTGTGTGTGAGTGTGTGTGTGTGTGTGTGTGTGTGTGTGTGTGTGTGTGTGTGTGTGTGTGTGTGTGTTAGAGAGTGAGCGAGGGTGAGAAGCACATTGCCATTGCTATGGGTGAACGCTGTGCCTCGTCTGCAACAACACGAACACGTGATGTTGATTGTGATGTGCGGTCAACATGTCTGTTGACGAAAGGAAACAACTCATCAAAGCACAGCGCGTGTGGAAGAACAAACAAACCTGTGTGGTGGTGTTGTTGGCATTTCTTTGGCTGCTGCCTGCGGTGGTGCGGATGATGCTGGGCAGTGGCGGACGAGGAAAGCAACCACAGCAACTACCACAGAAACAAAGCTGGTTGTAGAGAAGACAGCTCACACACACACATGTGAGTAAGAAGGGTGATGATGTGAGGGACAAGATCACAACCATTGCCAACAACACCTGCAACAGCACAGTGAGGTGAGCGCAAAAGCGCAAGCCAACAATGACTAGAACATGTGAGCGACACTTTGGCTTCTTCACCTGTCGTTGATGTGCACCCTTGGTATGCCTGCCTTGTTTGGTGTGGGTGTCACGACGCAATGCGCTCGTCCGTCACTGCCCCCTCCCACCACAAACACACACACACACACACACACACACACACACACACACACACACACACACACACACACACACACACACACACACACACACACACACACACAGCCGCTGTGTGGGCCGCGGACCCTCCACGGGTTGCAAAATCAGGGGAAAAACAAATTTTTTTTGTTGGGGGGTGGTTGCCAAAAAACAGGTGTCTCCGGGGGTCCCCACCCACAAAAAAGTATTTTATTGGGGGGAGCCTTTTTAACATCCTCCCCATTTACCCCCCCCCCCCCAAAAAAAAAAAAAACACGACCTGATCCTCACCCTTTCTTTGGGCTAGGGAGGGCGGACGTCCGCGCAAAACCTGGAAACACGAGTTTCGCCCGGCTGGGACTGAAAATAAAAAAGGGGTTTCCAATCGTCATCACTTTTCTTTTTGCAAAAGAGGAGAGGGCTGGTCCTGGTTAAGGCCGAGAAGAAAGAGGAAAAAGATGACAAAACTGTGTGAATGTGATAGGAAAGTAATTAACAATGGGCTTCCCCGCCCGCTGGTGGCCGGTGGGTGTGGGTTTTTTCTAT